TTTTATACGAATATAAATACAATATCATGTCTCTCTCTCTCTCAATCTCTCTCTCTGTGTGTGTGTGCGCGTGTGCGTGTGCGTGCGTATGTGCGGGCGTGCGTGCGTGCGTTCATGCATGTGTGGGTGCGTGCGTGCGTGCGTTCGTGCGTATGTGGGTGCGTGCGTGCGTGCGTTCGTGCGTGTGTGGGTGTGTACGTGCGTGCGTGTGTGTGTATGTGTGTGTATGTCGTCTAAAAATCGGCAAAGCACTTACAATTCTCTTGGTTTTGCAGATGTTAATCGGCGACGGTGATCATTTACAAGCACGTGAGCCATATGCTCGCTTGCCTCCACTTCCAAAAAATATCCTAGAACTTTCACTAGCATTATCACAGGTAATGATGCGGGTTTGTTCTGTAATATTTTAAAATTATCATTTAACAATCCATTACAGCTCAAAAACGTCCACTGCTGAAGAATATAGGCTTCACCCTTAGATAACCTCATAGGGGGAATTTTGCCATAGTTGCCACGCTTGAAAGGCAAGTTGGCAATATCAGTTTTTTATTATTATGAATGTTTTCAGGAAGACGATGCTGCACATATTCTGTTTCAGATTTCATATTTATGGGGTACGATATTCTTATACAGCCACTACAAGGTAACGGTCATTTAACAATAAAGTATTAAATTAACATTCAACAAATGTTGTTATGCTTTAATTAAATAATAAATCCTCATTCTCATTAAGCTTAAAAAAACTTTAAATTATGTTCATTCGAAACAAGGGTTCAGATATCAAAGCAAAAGGAGGTTGCTTAGTGCTCGTAATTTAATTAAGTTAAAATTATTCTTTGATTTCTATCAAAGAAATAAGTTGCTAATAAGTTTTTCCTTAATGAATGGTCCAACTGACCTTTATCTTTGTATGTGTGATGTAATTTAATAAATTTTGTATTATATATATATCTATATATATCTATATATATAGATATATATATAAATATATATATATATATATATATATATATATATATATATATATATATATATATATATAATCATTACAGCCCTTCACAAGTCCACTGCTGAACATAGGCCTCCCCCAAGGAATGCCACAAGCACGGTCCTGAGCCACCTGCAGCCATCGACTTCCTGCATATCTTACCAGGTCGTCACTCCATCTAGTGGGGGGATGCCCCACACTTCGCCTACCGGTACGAGGCTGTCACTCGAGAACCTTTCTTCCCCATCTGTTGTCGGTTCTTCGAACTATATGGCCGGCCCATTGCCACTTCAGCTTACTAATCCGTTGGGCTATGTCGGTCACTCTGGTTGTATTGCGGATATCCTCATTTCTGAGTTTATCACGCAGAGAAACTGCGAGCATAGCCCTCTCTATAGCTCGCTGAGCGACCTTGAGCTTCCTCATCCGGCCAGCAGTGAAGGACCACGTCTCAGTTCCGTATGTCATCACTGGCAACACGCACTGCTGGTACAGTCTCGTTTCCAAGTTTTGAGGTATACCTGACGAGAAGATGTGCCGTAATTTCCCGAACGCTGCCCAACCGAGTTGAATCCGTCGATTGACCTCTCGGTCGAAGGTGGACTTACCTAGTCGGACTATTTGTCCTAGGTAAACATACTCGTCAACAACTTCGAGCTTAGTGCTCCCAACAACTACTGGCATAGGTGTGTCATGGACATTAAAAATGATCTTTGTTTTGTCCATGTTCATCTTAAGACCTATCCGTTGGGAAACACTATTGAGGTCATTGAGCATAGTGCTTAGGTCCTCCAGTGATTCTGCCATAAGAACTATATCGTCGGCAAATCGAAGGTGAGTTATGTAATCGTCATTGATGTTGATGTCCTTTCCAGTCCAGAAGCTTGAAAACGTCTTCCAATGCAGCAGTAAAGATTTTCGGGAATATGACGTCATCCTGTCTTACACCTCTCTGCAATTGGATAGGTTTCGTACTCTGGTTCTGTACTCGGATAGCCATCGTATCCCTACTGTACAAGCACTTCAGTACTTCGATATACCGACAGTCCACTTGGCACCGCTGAAGGGACTACAGCACCGCCCAAATTTCGACGGAATCAAAGGCTTTCTCATAGTCCACATACGCCAGACATAGTGGCAAATTGTACTCCTCTGACTTTTGTACAATTTGCCGAAGGGTATGTATGTGGTCTATGGTGCTAAAGCCTTTTCGGAAACCAGCTTGTTCCACGAGACGATTCGTAATGACTCTCGAAAACAGCACGTAGACGCGGCTCAGAAGGGAAATCGGTCTGTAGTTCTTCAAGAGAGCGTTGTCGCCTTTCTTGAAGAACAAGACCACCGCACTTCTGCTCCACGCCTCCGGTGTAATGCCACCATGAAGGATGGAATTAAAGAGCTTCTGAAGGACTTCAAGTACCGGTTTTCCACCAGCTTTCAGAAGCTCCGCTGTAATTCCATCCTCGCCTGGGGCCTTGCCGTTTTTAAGGTGCTGGAGAGCCATTCTAATCTCGCTCAGACTGACGTCCGGATCATCGGAATAACGTCGGATAAGACTCGCTCTTGGATCGTTACTCACACTCGCGTGTGGCTCCAACGATGACGTGTACAGCTGCCCATAGAACCTCTCAATCTCACTCAAAATCTCAGGTGCCCCGGAAACGATGCTGCCACATTCTGTCTTCAGCTTTAACAGTTGGCTCTTTCTGGCAGACAGTTCTCTGGCAAAGACTTTAGAGCCTCAGTTCCGCTCGATCACTTCTTCAATACGAGCTGTATTGAAGTTGCGTAAGTCCCGCCGCATGCATTTGGAGATCTGTCTGTTCAGTTGCCTGTATGCTGTCAAATCTGTTGAAGAATGTAGCTTTATCTCCCGTCTAAGAGCCATGAGATTAAGAGTGTGGTCGGAGAGTTTTTGTATTCTTCTGCGGCGGGTCTTGCAGAACTTAGCTCCGACCGCATCGACAGTTTCCACGAGCTTATCATTCATATCGTCCACTTCATTGCAGTCTTCTAGGCACTGAAAACGGTTTTGTAACTCGAGCTGAAAGGTTGCGGGACTTTGGATTAGAGTACGAGGGGGACGGAGCGTTGACTTCATTAGACGAGACCTCTCCAACTTAACGTTTAGGTTCAGTGTGCTTCTAACCGTTCGGTGATCGCTGCCGATTTTCACCTTCGCGATCACTGAGACATCACTGAACAGTTGTCGTCTAGTCGTCATAATGAAGTCAATCTCATTTTTGTCGAACCGTCGGGGCTCGACCAGGTCTACTTCCTGTGAGGCCGCTTCTGGAAGAAAGAGTTCATCATAAAGAGTCCCTCTTTCTCCATGAAGTCGGCCAGCTGCTGGCCCTTTGGGTTCCGTCGCCCTATTCCAAATTTCCCTACTTTCAGCTCACCATTCTCTCTTGTGCCTAGTTTTGCATTGAAGTCTCCCATTAACACCGTATATTGGGTTTTGGAGGAATGCATGGCCCTAGAGATATCCTCATACATTTCCTCCACCTCCTCATCGGGGTGTGTCGAGGTTGGTGCGTAAACCTGTATGACCTTCAGCGAATACCTTTTGGTGAGGTAAGGTACGCAACCCTCGTCGACACATTCTCAATCTTTACAACGTTGTTAACGAGAGAGTTGTGGACGATAAATCTGACATCTCCTTGGGACAGATGGTCACCCTCCCGGTAATAGAACAAGTTGCCGTATTCGAGGATTACTGTTTCCTCCCCCTCTCTTCGGACTTCGGATAATCCTATAATATGCCAGCGTAACTTGTCTATCTCTTCTTCCAGCTCCACAATCTTCTCGTCAGTCCTCAGTGTGCGTGCGTTATATGTTGCCAGGTCGAGTCGTCTTAGATGGCAACCGAACCTCCACCGGAAATTCTTAGCACCCCCTATATATATTTATTTATTTATTTATTTATTTAAGCTTTATTTGCACACATACAAGAAATGTACAAAACGGCGGACTTAATGCCTAAAGGCATTCTCTACCAGTCTACCTTTGGTTTGTGCAGAGAATCTAGTGATGGGTGCAAAACTCATAATTAAAAAATAAAAATTAAAAAAATTAAAGGTTTAAGGAAAAAAAATACAAAATAATAATATAATGATAATAAATACAATACGCATACATATACATTTACATTACTACTTACATGCATACAATAGTATTTTATACTTGTACACAAATACCCACAATAAATACATACACAGTAAATAAATATGATATTTTTATATTATACATATTTGAGAATATAACAATTTCCGAGGTTCTTTAAATTTTTTATTATTATCCGAAACTACTGCTGCTTCGTTAAGTAATATTCCCAGAGCAAACGTTTAAAGATAGGTTTAGTTTTTGCTTCTTTTATATTTCTGGGTAACATGTTCCAGAGTCTTACTGCATTTGAAGTGAAAGAATTGTAAGAGAAGCCCGTGCGACAGAAAGGAACATGAAGAGTTAGATTTTCCGCGGAACGGAGACATCGGTTGTGAGAATCGTCCTGATACTGAAATTTGCATTTCAGATATGCAGGGACAGACGGATCGTGTAAAATAGAGAATAGCATAGAAAGGATTCTAAAAGATCTACGAAGTGGAAGAGGCAGCCATTTGAGCTGAGAACGGAATGAAGAAACGTGATCTAATTTACGTAAGCCAAAGATAAAGCGAATACAATTATTGAGAAGACGATCCAGTTTGTTAAGAAGTTCTTGAGAGGCATCAGCATAGCATACATCTGCATAATCTAGTATTGGTAATACGAGCGTTTGAACCAACATTATCTTTGTTCTCACTGGAAGAAAATTCTTGAGTCGATACAGACAACGCAAGGTGTTGATAACTTTTTATATATATATATATATATATATATATATATATATTTATTTTTATATATATAATATATATATTTTGATTATTCATATATATATATATATATATATATATATATATATATATATATATATATATATATATATATATACTTACTTACTTACTTATCTTCACGCACAATCCCTAACGGGGTAGCCAGAGAGAACAGATCGCCAAGTGTCACGATCCTTACAAACCTCTTTCGCTTCTTTCAGATTCATTATCTTCTTCATGCATGCACGTCTAAGTATCCGAGTACTTTTGACCCTACCCTCTTCGAGCAATTTGCTCACATGGTCTTCTAAAGTTAGTCTCGGTCTACCTCGACACCTTTTAATATTAACTTTCGCTCTATATATTTTCTTCACCATTCGGTCTTCACTCATTCGCTCAACGTGCCCAAACCACCGAAGCACGCCCTTATCAATTTTTGTGATAAGGTCATCTTTCATACCTGCCATATTGCGAATCTCTTCGTTTCGCTTTCGGTCGGCCATGGTAACGCCGCACATTTTACGAAGAGATCGCATCTCCACTGCATTCAACTTACTTTTATGCTTCTTCTGGCATACCCAGGTTTCGCTGCCATATAACAAGGTCGGTACCAACACTGCGTTATGTATTGCAAGGCGTGCACTCTTCGTTACGCCTTGCCTTTTGACTAACGCAGTCAGGGCACCATTGACTTTGTTCCCGGCAGCGACACGCCTGTCCACATCTAAATCACATCTTCCATCCCGGCTAAAAGCACTCCCCAAGTATACAATTTCATTTACTTGTTCTAGACATTCCTGATTTACCCATATTTCACACTTCGTTCTCTCTTCGTCCCTTTCAAATACCAGAACCTTAGTTTTATTAGAGACCTTTAATTTCACATTCCTCTTTCATACACGTGGACTAATGCCTGCAGTTCTGCCTCTGATGGTGCAATAAGCACTGTATCATCAGCATACAGCAGACAATTTACTTTTATGTCACCCAATTTCACACCCAAACAACTATCTTTCAGCTTCTGTAAACAGCTGTCGAGATACAGTATGAACAGCCAGGAAGACATGACACAACCCTGCTTTACGCCCGTTTGGACGTTAAACATGGGTGACAGGTCATGCCCTACCCGCACACAGGCTTTACAGTCACAGTAAAGAGACTGCACAGCCCTTAGCAATTGACCATCCACACCATACCCCGGCAACAGTTCCCACATTTTCTTCCTTACAACCTTATCAAATGCTTTCTCAAGATCCACAAAAGCACAGAAAATCTTCAGGTAAGCAGCCAGAAGCTTTTCCGTGATCATGCGGAGAGAAAACATTTGATCCGTGCATCCTCTTCCAGGTCTAAATCCGCATTGTGCCTCCCATAGAAATCTTTCCGATTTCTCTTGCATCCTACGTGTCAAAACCTTCGAGTAAACTTTACTTGCTAAACTGGTCAAGCTGATCGCCCGATAGCACCCGCAGTCAAAATGTGAACCTTTACCTTTATATAAAGGCACAATGACTGCGGATCGCCAATCATCCGGGACATCCCCCGTCCGCCAGCACAAATTGCACAGCAGATGAAAGCTGTCCCAGACGCGAGGCCCACCATACTTGACCATTTCAGCAGTAACTCTGTCTAGTCCCGCAGCCTTACCACATTTCAAACTTCGAATCGCACGTTCAATCTCTTTCATACTGATGACCTCAGTGTCGTCGAGGTCCGTGTCAGGCGTACCAGTCACGGCGTCATCCCCGGATCCCTCACTAAGATCATCACACTATATAAAATTCGCTCCATCGCTGCATGACGTCCGATTTCTCTGAGAGGACGTCATTAGTTCTCGAAAGCACTTTGTTCATTCTTAAGGCCGTCGCACCACTTCGGGTCCTTCCAACCTCTTTCCAGAAGAGTTTGGAGTTCTCCTTAAAGTTGTGCGACAACCTTTCGTCCGCTTCCATTCTACACCTTTCACGCACTTCCTCAATCAATGCTTTCGTGTGAACTTTCTGCAGCCTATATCTTTCTTTCATCTTCTCTCTCATATCCTTATCATTACTAGAGGCCAAGTAGTCTAACCATGCTTTCTTCTTCTTCTTTACAGCTTCTTTCACTTCATCATTCCACCATGCATCTCTTCTTTTACTACTGCCTCTTTTTATTGTTCCACACACTTCTTCCGCTGCACTTACCATTCCATCCCTAAGGTTCTGCCATGTTCTTTCTACACATTCGTTTCTGCCATCGATGGTGTCAAGCTTTTCGGCTACCCTCGCATGATATTTGTCCCTAGTATCCGCTTCCTGAAGCTTCCAGCTTCGGATGCGACAGACCGACTGTGGTTTTATTCATATATATATATATATATATATATATATATATATATATATATATATATATATATATGAATAATCAAAAGTTTCTAAAATAATCAAAAATCTTTTGAATAATCAAAAATTTTGTAAATATATTAAGAACCGATCACAAAACAATAATTTCATTATTATGACCTAGTATTTTCACAAGAATCATCACAACTGATAATCAATCAGTCACAAGCAAATTGAAAGTTTCCTTCTTTTTTACAATACTAGGAATTATGTTAATATTACTAATATTCAATTTTATGACTCCTGTTAATCTTAAAATGCTGGTGTTAAGACTGGTTCACGAAAGTAGTCGAATGGCGGATTCGAATCCACGACCTAATGAGTTCGTGGTCCGTAATCGGCCATTAGGATACTGTCGCTAAAATTAACTTTATAAAACTGAAGCGACAAACGAACTCACAGTCAACACCAAATAAAGCTAATTTCAAACAAAAGAGGTTAAATATGCGTTGTCATCTTTTTTTAAAATTAAAAATATTAGTTATGCTATAAAAGATTACTAATATTCCCTTTAACCACTTCTGGTAAGATTTGAATGCTTGTGTTAGAAGTGGTTCACGACAGTAGTCGAATGGCGGGTTAGAACCCACGAACTTTCGGGTTCGCGGTGCGCGTCCTGCCATTAGGCTACAGACCTTTACTACCTTTATGCTTTGAGTACTAAGATATAATACCTCACAGTCTGTAAATAAACTGGCTCTCTATATCCTCCAGATTGTGAACACAACAGTGCCAAGACGGATACCTAAGCAGAAAACGAGTAAAACCACCTAGTAGTTTTTTTTTTATAGAATAAGGGTGACAAACGATCACACAGTCCACCTGATGGTAAGTGGTTGCTGGGGCCCATAGACATCTACATCTATGATCGTTTGCGAATTAAAATGCAGATGCGTTGTTGCGGTTAGGACTAAGATAGAATGCCTCTTTTCCAGTAAAATGGGTCTCCGGTTCTCTACACTCACATATGAAACACAGCAGTGCCAAGATGTCATTTTACGCTGGTATTCTGTGAGAGCGTGGTCCTTCGCCGGTCGAGCCGATCCATTGGTGCTACAACTATATTACTAATATAGCTGCAGCACGACTCTACCACGTTAAAATCCCCTTGTCTGATCATCTCTGAGGAACATAAACAAACATAAACATTAACACTCACACCTTTCACCCAGTCCGCTACGAATTTCCTCTTTTAGATTCGTACACCTACGCATACATGCTCGTCGGTTAAGTATACTCTTAATCATACCATCTTCAATTACATTCCATCTTTAATATATCCTCGATTTGGTCGATAAATGTTCGCTTAGGCCGTCCCTTCCCGACTCTGTTGTTCATTTCTGCAACATAAATTTGCTTTGTCACTCTTTTCTCGTTCATTGTGTCTACATGAACACACCACCGAAATATTCCTTTCTTAATCCTGGTCACAATATCATCTTGCAATTTAAATTATTAATGTTCCAAGAGCAATGGGCTTTCACTTAGCAACATCATTTCTTTGTTCTGATAGAGACTAATTATTAATGTAAAAATTAGTTAATTATTATTATTATTTTTTTTAAACTATCACACAACGCCATCTAGTCCCAAGCTAAGCAGAGCTTGTGTTATGGGTACTAGACAACTGATAAAAATACTTATATATTTCTAAATACTTAAATATTATAGATAAATTACACCCAGACACAGGACAAATGATCGTGCTCATCACACAAACATTTGTCCTGGGTGGGAATCGAACCCACGACCTCCGGCATAGCAGTCAGGGTCACTAACCACTAGACCAACAGGCCTGTCTTTTATGTACTGGCGTTGTAAGAATATTCATTACCGTATATCGTTCCGTGGGTGTCGTAAGAGGCGGCATAGGGAAACAAACCAGGAGATGGGAAGCAGCGTCTTACTAATAATAAGTTAAAAGAAATAAAAATCGAATTTGCTGACCTGCCTGCCAAGAGTAGCAACTATGGCATATCGTGATGAGGCAATCTATTGGGGAAGTGTTCAGCAATGTACTTTTGATAGGCCGTAATTGTTACAGCAGGTAGTCACAATTGCCTTAAAAGCAATGTCAATTGCGCAGTGCAAAAAACACAGCCCATATGTCGGGAAAGGCACGACTGAAAAAGTTGTGGAGTTCGTCAGTCGTGATTAACGACGATCGATAAGTATCAAACTGGATAATGTGTGATGGAATATGTATGTTAAGCACAGGTGTGTGCCTACGACAAACACATATACGCCTAGTGCGTTGGTACGCTAGGGTATGTACCTAGCTGTTGCCTAATGCAAAACAAAAAATTAAAAACGACGACCGCCTCTGAGGTGGCGGGTTTATTTCATTCTAGTTACGGTTTGCTGATACCAGGAATCCAGGAAGGAGAGTTACGCACAAACGCACTTGACGCCACAACAAGCGTCCGAAACACTTCACAACAACACAGTGAGTCTGCTGTCTTCCGGGACAGCATGCTTCGCGCACCACAGTGAGAACACGAAGGCAGCAACAAACACAGATCACTAACTAATACGGTATATTTCGGTGAGTACGAGGTTAAAATACTTCTAGCGCTGGAGCAATGAGAATGGAGGGACGGGAGTAAACTCGACCGACACGTTCGAAGCCCAAGCGCAGTCCACCACTTTGTCGCAGAAAAGTATTATTTGAGCAAGTAATACCTTTATATATCGCGTATGTTGATATTATAATATTATTGTCAGTAATGATGATCCATTACTGCTAAAAATACAAGTCTTATAATATATATAAGAATATATTACAAAAAAAATTATCTAATATTTATATTGAACAGTTTATGTATGCACATCCCGTCGTGCTTAGTGCTTGTGCACGCAGTTTGAAAAAAGGAAGGTAAGAGAGGTATTATAATTTCTGTTGATGAGTTCTTTAAGAGTTAAAAAGCATATTTCTTCCCACGCACCCCAATTAGAAAATAATAAACTTAGATAATTTGTTATAAGTTAAAAAGTACGGAGCAATTTCCTGGCTTACGTTTTATAAAATAATTGGAAGTCCAAAG